GTAAGATTAATTAGTGAGAATCGCGTCTTCATAAGGACGCAGGTGACGTCTGTCATGAGCTACTTACAATTAATGCTGAAGAATTAGGATCTTTTGCGTTACTTGAGGTCATCACGGATGTTTACGGTTTAGCTACGAACTGCTCATTCCTCTGACAGCAGTGAGACCGCTGTAACCAGGCTTTAAAACTCTGGTTTTCAGATAGCCGAAAATAATTTGTCGATTTTAACTAATGGCCAGTGTAACAACATTATATAATTAACCCTTGTGTTACAATATATTTTATTGTATGATTATTTTGTTTATATTATTTCTAGGAAAATGGTGGGTATAAAGAGAAGATGAACTCGAAATCGTGGTTTCTTTGACTTCTGGGACTTCTTCGGCTTCTTGGGCTTCTGCTTCCTTTGTAGCTTCCCTATACCATTTCCTCATATATTCAGTGATACTCATAACTCTCAAAATATCAACTGTACTGCATTCGGAAGAAAATAAAATATTGCATTCGCAGAATCTGAATTACATAAAGATCCGCATGGCAGGACGTTCAGGCTCAGCATAATAATTGGTATAGGAGTCTTCACAGTGATATTTCTTTTACCTCTGCCAAACAATTATAATTACAAACATTTTTTTCTGCAACATTTTTCAAAACAGTTCGACATTCAAGCTTTTCTTTGTGACAGTATCCAGTCGCCTTTCCTCCATGAACAGCATTTTGAAGAACCGCCTTGGTGTAATTAACTCTTCTTAGCAGCTGAATTTCTTCTCACTCTAAAGAAGCAGGATCGAATAAACGAATAACAAACTATAAATATAACTTTGTAATTCTTTTGCGGAATTATAGGAACAAAGTATTAAACGGCTTTAGAAATCTGCTGAATGAAAAGTAAAGGAGTGGAAACCGTTTTTTGAAAGTCACCTAACAGGATGTGTATGACGTAAAATGAACATTAAGGGCTTCTTTCAAAAGATTAGTAAAACGGTAGTCTTTTGGAGTAAATGAGGAAAAGTTTTTCAATTATTTATGCTTTTGTTGAAAAGTTATTTTTTTTTATTACACTGGAAAAAACAGAGAAAAATTTTTTTATGTTGGCTAACTAATTTTCATACAAGTAGATAAGCTTAAGCTATTAGTATAAAAATTTCGACTTTAAAATGCTGACATAGAATTTTATTCTAATTTTGATTGTGCCTAAGCCCCACCTTAATTTACCCCCACGGCGGTGCAGGACCGCATTGAGAAACCGTTTAACGTTTTTTGTCATGAGATTTCTTTAGTGCTTTTTGGAGTATAACAAAACTTTCCAATTTGTTTAGCCAACTACAAGGTAAATCGAAGTGTATAAGTGCAAAAAAATGTTTGGTAAGTTTTGTTTCGCTTGA